ATCCTGTTTCAGTCTTCTACATGTGGCTATCTAGTTTTCCCAACACCATTTATTGAATAAGGGTTCTTTTCCCCAGTGTATGTTTTTGTCTGCTTTGCCAAATTTAGATGGCTATACAAGGATGGTTTTATATCTGGATTCTCAGTTCTATTCTATGGTCTATTCCATGGTCATTCCATGGTCTATGTCTGTTCTTGTGCCAGTACCATGCTGTTTTAGTTACTATAGCCTTGTAGTATAGCTTGAAGTCTGGGAAATGCATGCCTCCCAATTTGTTCTTTTTGCTTAAGACTACTTTTGCTATATGGGGTCTTCTCTGGTTCCATGCAAAGCATAGAATTATTTTTTCTAGATCTGCGAAAAATGTTGATATTTTAGTAGGGACTGCATTGAATCTGTAGATCACGTTGGGTCATATAGACATTTTAACAATGTTGATTCTGCTAACCGATGAGCATGGTATGGTTTTCCACCAGCTTACATCCTCTGCTATTTCCTTCCTTGGTGTTTCCTAGTTCCCCCTGTAGAGGTCTTTTACCTCCTTGGTTAAATATATTCCTAGGTATTTTATTTTCTTTGTTGCTATTGTGAAGGGTATTGAGTCTTTGATTTGGTTCTCAGTTTGACTGTTATTGCATATAGAAATGCTGCTGATTTCTGTACATTGATTTTGTAACCTGAGACTTTGCTGAATTTGTTTATCAATTCCAGTAGTCTCATGCAGAATCTTTGGAGTTTTTGAGATATAAGATCATATCCTCAGCAAAGAGCAATAGTTCGACCTCTTCTGCCCCCATTTGGCTGTCCTTGATTTCCTTCTCTTGTCTGATTGGTCTGGCTAGGACTTCCAGCACTAAGTTGAATAGAAGCAGTGATAGAGGGCAACCTTGTCTGGTTCCAGTTCTAAGCGAGAATACTTTCAATTTTTCCCCATTCAGTATGATGTTAGCAGTGGGTTTGTCATTTATGGCTTTTATCATTTTTAGGTAAGTCCCATCTATACCTATTTTGTTAAGCATTCTTATCATAAAAGGGTGCCAAATTTTATCGAATGCTTTTTCTTCATCCTTTGAAAGGATCATATGGTCTTTGTTTTTGCTTCTATTTATGTGGTGAATTACATTTATAGATTTCTGTATGTTGAACCATCCCTGCATCTCTGGGATAAAGCCCACTTGGTCGTGGTGGATTATATTTTGGATAAGCACCTGAATTTGGTTTGCTAGGATTTTGTTGATAATTTTTGCATCTATATTCATAAGGGATATCGGTCTATAGTTGAGAGCAATCTTATTTACACAGTCCAAGAAAATACTGCTTCAAACAAGCTCCCTTCATCACCCTCTACTTCTAGCCAGATTATCACACCTAAGCCTTCTATATAGAAATTCTAGAGCTGCACTGACCTTTAGAATCCCAAATATATGGATTTAAATTCTTCTTAGAGTTTACTATCTGGATAACAATGGCAAAGTTACTTTCTGACTCTCTGTTTCCTCATTTAAAAAGTGGAAATAAAAATCCATCTCACAGGCTTATTGTGAAGACTAAATTATGTGGGATGATATTTATAAAATATCTGACATAAAACAGGTATTCAATAAATAAAGCTATTGCACTTATAAAAGTAGGAACAAATGGGAAACACAAGTTATTAATTTGATGAGAGATAACAGATATGAGCTGTGTTTTGGATAGCTGTATGTCTCTGCAGATTTGGGGATAAAGTGCTATGATTAAATGATATTTAAATATATGTGTCCTTCATTTTAATATTGTTATCATCTGTGATATAGGAGTACTATAATGAATTCTTTTTACTAATAAAATGTATTTAACAATAGACTAGGGAATTAAATTAAGAAAAATATGGGAGGGAAAAAGGCAAAACAGTTAATTTAGATGTAAAATCAGACCACTAAGTGACGGTCCTTCTTCTGCTTGCCTGAGATCTCACTGTCTCCTACGTTGACCCATTCTGTCTTAGGGCAGTTCTATTATTTAAAAACCTAGCTTTATATTAAACCCAAATATCTTTTACTCTAGTTCTACCTGTTAGTACTAGTTCTTCCTTGTAGAGTTGTAGAAATAAATCCTTTCTATAAGGTAGCCCTTCTAATGTGTAAGGACAGCTATTATGTTCTGCGCCCTCATCCCACCCTACCCATTAACTCTACTTCTGCAAGTTAAATACGTATACTCAATTACTGTTATATATCCTCATATGACATGGTTTTGAGTCCCTTCACAGCATCAGTTTCCTGGAAACTAGAACATATCTAGTTTTCATAATCCCTTTGCCAAGTTTGGTACCTTGAAGTAAGCACATCCTCAGGTGCTGCCTGTTTTTACCAGTGAAAAATAGAATAGGGTGGCCGGGCACGGTGGCTCATGCCTGTAATCCTAGCTCTGTGGGAGGCCAAGGCGGGCAGATTGTTTGAGCTCAGGAGTTCGAAACCAGCCTGAGCAAGAGCGAGACCCCGTCTCTACTAAAATTAGAAAGAAATTAATTGGACAACTAAAAATATATAGAAAAAATTAGCCGGGCATGGTGGCACATGTCTGTAGTCCCAGCTACTCAGGAGGCTGAGGCAGGAGGATCGCTTGAGCCCAGGAGTTTGAGGTTGCTGTGAGCTAGGCTGACGCCACGGCACTCTAGCCCGGGCAACACGGTGAGACTCTGTCTCAAAAAAAAAAAAAAAAAATAGAATAGGGTTATTATTCACCACATATTCTCATTATTATGTTTCTATTATTATTGCCCCCAAACCATTTTTTTCTTTTTTAAATGAATGGACTTTGTTTTTGGAGCAGTTTTAGGTTTACAGAAAAATTGAGCAGAAAGTAGAAAATTACCAAATATCCCTGCTCCCCAATTTTCCCTATTATTAACATCTTGAATGAATGCAGTATGTTTGTTACAACTGATGAACCAATATTGGTACATTATTATTAATTAAAGTCCAGAGCTTACATTAGAGTTCACCTTTTGTGCTGTATAGTTCTATGGGTTTTGACAAATGCATAATGTCATGTGTCCACCATTATAATATACAGAATAGTTCCACTGCCCTAAAAATCCCCTTTGCTCTGCCTATTCATCCCTCCTTTCCTCCTCCAAATCTCTGGCAACCACTGATCTTTTTACTGTCTCTATATTTTTGCATTTTCCAGAATGTCATATAGTTGAAATCATACAGTATGTAGTCTTTTCAGACGGCTTTCACTTAACAATATGCATTTAAGTTTCCTCCATGTCTTTCTGTAACTTAATAGCTCATTTCTTTTTAACACTGAATAGCATTCTGTAGTATGGAAGCATCACAGTTTATTCATCCATTCTCCTACTGAAGGACATCTTGGTTGCTTCCAAGTTTTGGCAGTTATGAATAAAACTGTATTGCTGCCACAAAAATGTATGTGTAAGTTTTGAGTGGACAGACGTTTTCAGTTCATTTGAGTAAATACCAAGGAACAAGATTGCTGGATTATATTGGAAGAGTACGTTTAATTTTGTAAGAAACTACCACACTATCTTCCAAAGTGGCTGAACCATTTTGCATTCCAACCAGCAATGAATGAGAGTTCCTGTTGCTACACATCCTTGCCAGCATTTGGTGACCTTTTTTTTTCTTTCTCAAACACGGCTACATCGCTGTTGATTTGTACTAAATTTACTGTCAACCCAAATCCCTCAGATGTTTTACATGACTTAGTTGCTAAGCAACATTCTCTTTCTCCCAAATTTATGCAGTTATTCTTTGTACTTCTCTTAATGCTCTTTCTTTTCTTTGGTGTCTCTCCCAGATATCCTGGGGTTGGGATTTCTTTTATTTATTAAATGCACTTACAATGTATTGCTGGTAAGGACTCACACTTGAAGGTGCCTCTCCTGGAAGTGCCTGGGAGTTTACATTCATTTCCCAACCAGATGGCCCATAGACAGTAACTGACTGGTATGAAGGTACAATAACTCAGCTCCCTTGCCCCCAGGTGAGACAAACTCTGATGAAATTTATATGCTACATGCCTCCCTGGGGGAGCAGGCAGAAGCCAGGCTTAGCCTAAAACCACATTCTAGTTTAGCTTCTTCTCCTTCTCTACCTACAACTGTCACTTCCTAAGAGTTTCTCCTGAGGGCAAAATCTTAATAAATCACTTGCATACAAATCCCCATCTCAGGCTCTGCTGCCAGGAAATCTGACCTAATTTTATGATGTCTTTTGATTACAGAACACGATTGTTTTTAATATTTTTGACTATTATAACTGTTCCTTTTTTGGGGGTGGGAGGCAACAGAAGCTCTGATGCCCCCGCTGGAGTGCAGTGGTGTTATGGTAGCTCACAACAACCTCAAACTCCTGGGCTCAAGTGATCCTCTTGCCTCAGCCTTCTGAGTAGCTGGGACTACAGATGTGTACCACCATGCCTAGCTCATTTTTTCTATTTTTAATAGAGACAGGGGTCTCACTCTTGCTCAGGCTGGTCTCAAACTCCTGAGCTCAAGCGATCCTCCCGCCTTGGCTTCCCAGAATGCTAGGATAACAGGTGTGAGCCACCGCCTTTAAAAATGGTAGTATCTTTACTTCTAATAGTTTATTTTGAATTGCTTGTGTTTTATTGTTTGTATTTATTGAATCTCTAAGGGCAAGACTTTTTTGGGATAAAAATTGCCTCTCCAATATTCCAATGAATGTCAATGGGAAAAGCAGTTTAATGTGACAAAACTTTACTGCAAAGCAAACATGAATGGAATAGATCTATTCTGTTAGGTGAGGATTACCTCCATTGCATTTATGAATGTCACATCTTTCATTGAGCTCATGACAGTAGTGCCATTTTAGGAAGACACTCTGTATTTCAGAGTCTCATCATTATCAGGATTTCTTTATTTGCCAAAGTTATCTTTTACTCTTTAAAATAACACCATTTGATTTTGTCTGAATGACCTCAATCCTTTATTTTTATGGTTTTAGTGGTGGACAACTACTTGGATATAAATCTTGTCTTCAATGACAAGCCCATATCTGTGTCCCCCTATTGTGTGTGTGTCTTTGGGCACAGCCTTGTATGGAAGGGAGAAGCCCCTGAGAAAGTTGCTGGCACCATTCCTGGTGTCTCTGGATCTTCGAATATGGATGTTCTTACTGAAAAAGCATCACCTTATTGGAATGATAAATTATAAAATGGGAAGTTGTCACTGTGAGGTAACATGACCTCAAGTCAGCTGTAGGGGGGTGGTGGTAACACTCAGGTCTGCAGCCACCTAAATCACTCAAGGAAGACTGAAAAATCAGTGTCATCAAGACCCAGAGGAAGATGTTTCTAAAAAATTCTCCTTCATCATCTCAATATCAAGCACCAAATTGAATGTGAAGTATGGGAAGACATAAAAAACAGCACAGAGGATGACAGGATTTTGATTGAGTCTGATATGTTCAAGGAGATGGTCATAATATTGGTTGTTTGAAGGATGTGAAAATAATTGTAACACAATTAAAGACATTAATAGAAAGAAGCAATTAAAACATTGAAAAGGAAAACCAAAATTTGACAGACAATGTGGCTGGTTCATTTGGGAGGTTTTCTAGTCTTCACAACAATGCTTTGAAAGACTCTGACCCAAGGAATCCTCAGGGTGGGAGATCATTGATACTGCTTTCACCCAACATACCACACTGCATGCAGGAGAGTCAAAAGTGAAGAATGAAATTCCTAAGCAAGTGAAAAGATTGCCCAGAAACCCATTTCCAAAGTAGAGAGTGAAAAATTCTCTAAGACAATTTTAAGCAAAGAAAATTTATATCCTTTTTGAGTTAGATCAGACATGGAAAATAGATTTCGTTTCGTGGGTTATCTCTGACCAAGTGGTAGTTATTGCCTGGAGCTCTATGTTAAGGAAGATTCTGAGACTGTATCTGGATTGATTGAAAAGAGTTCTGATGCCAGTTAGTAATGTCTGTCACAGGTGCAGTAAAAAATATGCGCCATGTTTTTACCATTCGTTAGCGTGGGAAAGACCATGGGGTAGATCAGCTCAGATTCTGTGAAAAGCAGAGCTGCATTGGGTGTGAGGAAACCAGATTAAGTATTGTGTCTTCCATTAGCTAGTAGTTTGACTTTGATCAAGTGACTTCATCCCTTTGCGCACTGATTTCCTGTGCAAGACAATGAAGTTTCTATACTGGATGATCTGTGATGACCCTTTAAATTCTAAAATTCTGTGATTGATTAATAGTCAAACTACAAATGCATTATTGTGATGTGCTCAGGGATGCATCTTAGTTTGGGTTTCCCCAGGAGAGGAGCTTGAGACAGGATTCACGTGCAAGTGATTTAAACAGGAAAGTAAGGGAAACTTTAGGGTGCGTCATCAAATCAGCTCCCACTCAATCCCACTGAGGAAACTCATAGTGAATCTATCTGGGAGGCAAGGTTACTGGACTATTTTTACACCAATTCCTGCCAATCATTGGATGAGGGCTGGCGGTGGGGAGGGTGGCTTAATTTACCTGCACTTCCTCTCTGCTATGCCAGCAAGCACTGAAGAAAGTCCCTAGGCAAAAAATACAGTTGGAATATGTCCAGGGTACACTTAAATAGTAAGGGCCAGGGGATATGAACAGTGTCTGCTATGCCAGGATTCTTTGAGGGATAAGTAAAAAAGCTCATTGGCATTTTCAGTATTAAATACAATTGATACTCAAAACATTGTGATAAAAAATTATCTGCTTTTGGATCTCAGAGCTGAGTTATGAGTTGAATAAGAGAAGCCTGTGAAATCTAATAGTTATTTTCTTTTTTTTTTTTTTTTTGAGACAGAATCTCACTCTGTTGCCTGGGCTAGAGTGCCGTGGCGTCAGCCTAGCTCACAGCAACCTCAAACTCCTGGGCTCAAACGATCCTCCTGCCTCAGCCTCCCGAGTAGCTGGGACTACAGGCATGCGCCACCATGCCCGGCTAATTTTTTCTATTTTTAGTAGAGACGGGGGTCTCTCTTTTGCTCAGGCTGGTTTCGAACTCCTGAGCTCAAACAATCTGCCCGCCTCGGCCTCCCACAGAGCTAGGATTACAGGCGTGAGCCACCGCGCCCGGCCTAATAGTTATTTTCTGTTTGGACGCCTACAAGGAAAATCTTCAGATAGGCACTGCCTAGTAATGCTTTCCCGTTTTCTCCACAGTCAAGAGACCAGTTCAGCGAGGAAGATTATCTTGCAAACGGAAATGTTCTAGACTCCATCCAAACCAAAGAAGGTCTGAGTCTTGAGTTGATAAGTGGAGATGTTCTGGGTATACAGGTAAGTGGTACTGTTTAGTAAATCCGCCAAGGAACAATGGGATCTAATCAACTGCTTGTGTGATTTAGGGTTAAAGATTCAGATAATGTAAATTTGAGAAGTTAAACCCTCCTTAAGGTCATGCAGAAATATATTTACTATCCCCTATATTTGTCATATGTGCTCATGTGGAGGGGTCTGAGTTTAACCACAAACCAGAGTGAGCAAATCCGCTTCTTTTCTCTGTAACTGATCTTGACCTACAGGTTTGTTTTTCTCTCCTGCTCCATTGTCATTAAGGGGGAAGACATGTATACACCACACTATAAAATCACCCTTTACAAACACATCCCATTGCTCCTGCTTGAGCACTTTCCAGAGACACAGGAAGAATGAGGGATAAAGGTTACGGGTTCAGGTACTAAATCTTCAGCTTGGCTCCTGCCTACTGCTCCTCTCGTATCACTTCCTTTTCCTTGGAATCACCAATTAGCAGCACATACAGATCCTAAATTCCACCTTTAGTTGACATCCATAATACTCAGATCAGAATTATTTGGAGAGCTTTTAAAAATACAGATGTCCAGGCCCCACCCCTAGAGATCCTGACTTTAATTGGTCAGGTATGTGCTATAGACCACAGTAATTTTTGAAAGCATTCCAGGTGATTCTATTATGCAGCTAGGGCTAAGAATCACTGGTTGGAGTGCTTCTTTGGAATTCTATAGCCCCACCATTTGGACACTTGCTGTTTACCTTCACATGGCACGCATTTAAGGCTAATGGAAAGAGAATCCTACTGAGAAATTTGAAGACTCTTCCGGATTATGAACCACTGGAAATACTCTTTGCTTTTGCTACAGCTAATGGGGAGGGAGCCAGCTGCTTTCTTCATGTTCTTTAGAATAGAGGCCTTACACTCCTTTGCCACATGAGTTCAGGACCTTGTCCACATGATCAGAGTGCTCACTTCCTCACCCCTAGTGAAATTACCAGGGAATCAGAAGGCTGTCAGTGAGCACAAAATCTGAGTAAGTGGAGTTAGAAGAATTGAATGTAGAATGTCTAATGGCATCAGGCTATGACCCCCATCTCACCAAAGAGACAGCCTCAGCAGAGACATTGGAGAGCTCAGTGCCACTGGACAAGCTAGCATGGACACTGCCTCCCTTCACCTCGGTGACTTTGCTTTGTCCAGGGCTGACCAGACCCCCCCTCAGATCCACCCACTCTTTCTTTAGGTATGTTATTAAATTCAAAACAATAACTTTCAGTTCCTGCCAGCCTAAAAGCGATTCTCACTTCTTCTGTCTCTCTGAATCTTTCTGTGTTTCTTTTTCAATCTGTCTGTCTTTCTCCGTCTCTCTCTTTCTGTCTCTGCCTTTCACTCTCACAGTTCCTTTTCTCCATCTCTACTAATCTTTGTCTCTGTCTCTGGGCTCTGTTTCACTGATTTTCCTGGCTCTATTCTGACTCACTAGATGTTTGTTTGACAGTAGTGGGTAGTATATTTCCTTAATATGTAAGTTTTAGGAGTAAGTACTAATAACAGTTTGTAAACTCCTTGAGGGTAGGGCTGGCATGTCAGTGCGAAAGGTGAAACATATCTTGTGCATTACTCTACTGCGCTTAGCAAAGTCACAGGTGCTCATTCATTATGTATTAATTCAATTTCTAACAAACTTGCTATTTTCATTAAGGCCGATGTCATTGTCAACACTGTTCCTGTGGATCTTCAGCTTGGAAGAGGATCGCTATCTCAGGCTCTTTTGCAGAAAGCTGGTCCAAGGCTCCAGAAAGAGTTAAATGCCACCAGGGAGAGAACTGAGGAGAAAGTGGGCAGCATATTCATGACAAGTGGCTGCAATCTGGACTGCAACGCTGTGCTCCATATCGTGGCTCCAAGCTGGGATAATGGAGCAGGGACTTCTTCGCAGGTAGAGAAAGCCCTTAGTTCTCCACCTCTTTTGGGAATCTCCTGGCAGGATGTAGATCTCTGGTTCTCAACTAAGGCAATTTTGTCCCACAGGCTTGTTACAACTGCTATTAATATCTAGTAGGTAGAGGCCAGGGATGCTGCTAAACATCCAATGATGTTTAGCAATGATGCACACACCAGCCCCCGTCAACGAAGAATTATCTGGCCCAGGTTGAGAAATCCTAGTATTGATTGAACCCTGTCTATTTATTGAAATCTTCGTTACATTCCATGGAGACTCCATCACAACTACCAGTTATTTCAGAGTAATTGACCCTTGGAAGCTGCAACTATCATTGGGGTTCTCCAGGAGTGGTGTCTACAAAGTACTATATTAACCCTTCAGTATAACAAAGAGGTGCACCCAGAGCTGTGATGAAGAATAAAAGAGTCACTTCCCTTCTTTTGATAACTTCATTCTCACTTCAACTCCCAGTTTAACCTCCCAACTTTATTTTTGCAGAATATAAACAAGTAATATGTGTTACATTGTAGAAAATACAGAAAAGTACAAAAATAAAATAATCATAATACAACCACAAAGAGATCAATTTAACATTTTATATACTTCCTTCAAGTCAATTTTATACATATTTATTTCTTAGTTGAGATTCTCTTTCAAACATTTTTTAATACTGCTTTTTTCTTATTTTAGCATTTCCTCATGTTAAAAACTCTTCATAAACATCACTTTAGTTTGCATTGAGGTCACATTGTGTATGTAACCATCCCCGTACTGTTGAACCCTCCCTTCCTGAATGAGTTTGACTCTCTCTGGAAAATATTCTTCCCTTTTTCTGTCCTCACTTTCTAACTTCCCAGGCCCCGACAAAGCCAACAATGGCAAAGAGGTCTTAGTGAGAGTTGCTGGAACCACAGCTCGTTCTGTTTTCCACCAGTCGAAGCCCTAACTTATGTAAATATACTTTGTACATTTCAGATCATGGCAAATATAATCCAGAAATGTTTGACGACTATAGAACAGCAATCTTTCTCATCAATCACATTTCCCTTGATTGGAACAGGAAATCTTCAATTTCCCAAAGCTATTTTTGCTGAACTAATCCTTTCAGAAGTGTTCAAGTTTAGTAGCAGTGCTTGGCTGAGAACCTTACAAGAAGTTCACTTTGTGGTACATCCAGATGATGATGAAGGCCATCAGGTATGGTTATATATCTTGTCTGGTCATTCTGACAAGTGAACCCAAGGGCAATAAGTTGTCTTTATAGATCTATAAATAATAATATTTTCTACTTCCCTGCCCATAAATGTTGATTGTTGATGGGAGGTTGTCATATGGCTTAACTATGAGCTAACACTAACAACTTATACAATCCTTCCTAGACAGTTTATCAAGAGACAAGATAATAAATAAATTCTTAGAAAAAAGTAGACAGTTATCATCATAAAAATAGCCTAGACGTTTTAACACTAACTGTGTAAAAACTAAGTCATGGCTCTACCTATAGGGAAAAGGTGGGAGAAGAGAAGCCTCAAGAATTTAGTTATTTGTACAGAATATACCAGGCTACACAAGTCTATGAAAGTCCACAACTAGAAATACCAGCACCATATTCAGTAGCGGAGAAGCAGTCAAAACCACATTTACTAAGTACTTGCCACTGGCATTAGAAGAATGGTATGCCAAGGTTTGAATCTCAGTTTTGCCATTTTAAAGTTGGGTAACGTAACTTCTCTGAATCTCAGTTTTGTCACGGGTAAGATGAACATGGCAATAACACCTTTCAAAGTTGATGTGAGTATTAAAAGAGAGAGTATATTTGAAGTGTTTTGCATGGTATCTGGCACGTAGCAAGCCTCAAAACTGTTTGCAGTAGTAGTTATTACCTTATTATTATCTGACTTTAAGGGCTAACAGGCAATTGCTACAACTTACTAACATTAGCACTTAAAAAAGACGTCAAAGATTATTTTGTTTTCTAAGTTCTTATTTTTAGCCATTCAGGATGGAAGTGTGGTCTTCCCAGATATGTTTCCCAGAGATCCCCAGAAACATTTCAAAGCATTACATAATATAGTTTGTAAGTTTATTTGCCCATAGATGCAGGAAAAATTAATAATAGTTAAAGGAATAACATATATCCCAAAACTTTCCCCTAGTGAATATAAAATATCCAGAGACATAATTTTTGCTAAAAGATAGACTGGGGAAAAATTATCATTAGCAAGTTTTCATGATTTCTAAACTGGACAATCCAAGCGAAACTTTATAACTCTAATGTGTCACCCATTGCTCAGTTTTATCACTCATATGACCAAAAAGCCTTTTTTCATTTCTTAAAAAAAAAACAAAAACACTTCAGCTTATAAAGGTTTCTAATGTGGATTTCAGTGATTTCATTCAGGAGGCTTTGGCTAGATGTAGAGATGAAATGTGCTGTATGTATTTGTTGTCAGTCAACCCCAGAACACACCTAACAGCCAATTATGCTAAGGAATGTTGCTGCCCTCCCTCCCCCACTCCCCTGTAAACATTCTACACTCTCCTAAGCACGGCAGATGTAGAAGGCCAGAATTATGGGGGTTCAAAAGATGAAGGATAACCTGACAGTGGTTGCAAATAAAGCATACGCCTTCTTGAAGAGCCAGTATACTAAGATGGATCTTTGTGACACTACAATGGAAAAACGGATCCTCTTGTCTGCACAACTCTTTGTGGTCCTGAAATTAGTTGTTGGCTAGAAGGACTTCATAAAGGAGCCCTTACAAAAACTTACTCCCCTTTACTCAGTACAGTGTTAGTTATACTCATGAAATAAAGTAAACTACCACTGCTATTTATTGAGAAAATTCCTAGGTTGAATGGCACTCCTTTAATTACGAAGTCACTGAGGTAAGAGGAAATCTATGGCAAACTATTGTTACTATTTCATATCTGATGATCAATGATCCAAAGAGTTGGATTCATATTTCTACAGAACATGACTGTGGTCAATAACTGTGTTTCTATTTCCAGGCATTTTTAGGTGAATTCTCTAGATGGTCGAGCAGAAATCCCAACAAGGACAAGGTTCCCGAGGCTGGAGATACCCAAGGTCTGGTGAAATTGTTCTGCTAAGGAAATATTTCCCTTTGCTTAGTAACTCTTCAGTGATGGTTGAGTCCAATAAAAGGAGGCAAAGTTAATTCACATGAAAAACAAATCCGTGATAGAGAAGGTGTTAGAGCATGGCCCATTGTCTGGGCACACAAAGAAGCCAACATATTAACACAAACCGAATCATTGGTAATGAAACCAGAGTTTCGAAGAAATGATAGTAAAAATAACTAAATTGTGTTCGGCACATTACGCTTTGCTGATTGCTTTCATATATAGTATATTATTTATCTGTACAATGTCCCCATGGGTAGGTGGTTCTCTTGCTACTGTATAAACATCAAAAAGGAGATCTAAAGAGTTTAGGGATGAGTGGAAGTGGCACACCTAAGTGTGAAGCCTCAGAGTGTGGCGTGGACAGTAATATGCCAGGATGTTAAAGGTAATTTCCTCTGAGCACCCTTTATATTGCTACTCCAGTGGTAATAAAAGGATCTCCCAGGGATGTTGTCCACAGGAGATGAGAGAGCACTTTGCACCCTCCCCTTCTTCCTCATTCCTTTCTCATGATGCCAAAGCAATTTTTGCCAGTAAACAGACTGGTCCAATCAGACGTTTCTGCCTCATCCTATTTAGCTGAGAAAATGTAGATACTCCTACTGCCACAAAGCATTATTTTCTAATTTCCTTAAAAAAAAAAAAAAAACAAAAAACTAGCTGTTGAACAGGCCAAGAGACATGGTAATGTTTGGATTTATGTTAGGGAAAAGAAAGAGGACTGGGAAGAGAATAGGACCCCATAGGACCCCAAGATATTTGCTCTTCCTCCAAGAGCCAGCCCATTCTTTATACATTTTCTTTCTTTTCAGGTGTCATCGGGACTGTCCCTAATCCTTGGTTCCCAGCGTATGAAATGAAAATTGGTGCAATTACTTTCCAGGTTGCTATTGCAGATATCACCAAAGAAAATGTAGATGTTATTGTAAACTCGACAGCAAGCACATTTGACGGGAAATCAGGTACTGTATTTAAGCAATATACTTGATTGTGACTATTAATGTGACTAATATTGCTGTGAGTAGCCAGAGAGTGTTGTAGAAAATATGCTGGCCTTCGACTCAGAAAGACCTGGGTTGAATCCCAGCGATCCACTTGCCATCAGGTGACCTTGGAGAAGGTCAGCCTCAGTTTCTTTGCCTGTCAAATTCCTGTTTCCCAGAGGAGGATTAGATGGGTGTGACTGATGTAAAGGTGGGGTGTAACTGTTGCACCGTAGTCAGTGTCAGCTCTTATCCCCTTTTTAGCTCTTGACTATCAGACTTCCACACTTATAAGTTAATAAGCTTTAAGTTCTTCTATTTTTATTTCCCCTCTTAAGCAGTCTCACCTCCTGTAGCTCTTCTCTTCTCTTTACATTACACTGACCCAGAAATAAAACTCACATCCTTTTTCTTGATTTTCTCAGAAATGTGTGACCACACCCATGGCAATAACACTTTTGAACATGCTCTCCCCACATATATCTATTTGTTTATAACTTATATACATATACTCCTATGCTAATATATTTTGTATGTTATAAAACGTCGACTTAAACTAAAAGGGTACAACATAACTAGAAATAGAATTTTAAATATTTTCTAAATTGTAAAATATTATGGAACTTACTATGCAGAAGTGACTCTATAGAATATCCATTTAATTTATTGGTCACTCAATTTTTCAGTCATTCAAAATGTAGACATAAAGAACAGCCAGTTATATGAAACATGCTAAATAGAACATAAGCATTCATCCTTCCCCCTTTTGGAATTCCATTAATGCAGCAGTAAAGGAATGAAAAGAGTATAGACCCACAAGGAAAAAGAACTTTGAAGGGAAAACAACTACGAACAAGCAATAACATATTTTTAGGAGATGCGAAGCTGCTAGCCAGCGGTGGTAACTGACATGGAGTAGGGAAAACTTAGTACCCTCTAGAGAGAACCGCAGCCCCTATAGACATGGGAACTGGAGGCAGCAGGTACCTGGGAAGGCTGGGGGACAAGCATAGACATGAAAACAGAACTGAGTGAAATTCCGTATCAGCAGCAATTAGACCTCTTGATTCTATTCCCTCTCCTATGGAGCAGTAACTTTCCTTGCTCTTCCCTGACCGGAGATGGGAGGTTTATTCTCTAGAGAAACGGAACCAGAGAGATTCTGGACTCAGAGCACCAGGCACAGGTGAGATGGGGAGCTAGACTGAAAACTGTGTCTAAGAAAGTCTCCGTACTGACAGGAGCGTCCAGCCCCTCTCCTTGAGTGGCTCCCAGGATGGCAGATGGTAGGTCCTGCCAGCTCCCCGCATGCTGAGGCCCACTGGTCAACAAGCCTCCTCACATAGAGCTTCTAAGCTCACTTTTAAATGTGAATGGACTAGCCAGGATCACTTGACACATGAGAGAAGTTTCCACCGCAGCAAAGACAGAGACTGTAACAAACAAACCAGAAGAAAGAATTTTAAAAAAAAAGAGATATCAGCCTGGGCAGCATAGTGAAACCTCATCTCTACAAAAAAATTAAAAAGAAAAAAAAGATGGGCATCATGGCATGCATGTGTAGTCCTAGCCACTCCAGATGCTGAGATAGGAAGATCACTTGAGCCCAGGAGTTTGAGGCCGCAGTGAGCTATGATCTTGCCATTATACTCCAGCCTGGGTGACAGAGTGAAAGAAACCCTGTCTCTAAAAAAATTGGAAAAACAAAAAGAGATGATTCATAATATATACAATCAAGAAGATATATATATATATATATACACACACATATATATTCATAGTGGTAAAATAACTAACATTTATTCAATATTTTCTGCATTCCAGGCTCTGTGCTAAGCATTTTTCATCCATTATCCCTTTGAGTGTTCAAATAACCCTGTGAGGGAAGTGCCGTATTAGCCTCTGTGTAACAGATGAGAAACTGAGTCCTCACATATTGGCTCCTAAGTGGAATTAACTCCAACTCAGTCTGTCAAAATGCAATGTCCATATTGTTAACCACTCAACCCAGCTGTCATTAGACTTGACCAAAGTGGCGAAGCTGCAGCCTTGCTTGAAAGATTCATTGAACTGAAACTAGCTAACTCTATCTAATTGTAGGGGAAAAAATAAAGAACTTCAGTAAAATGCTCAATTTCAGTACAGTTTTGAAATCCACACTTTTCATTAACATCAGAACTTTTAGTTTTATATATTTCATTCATTTTTATAAAACAATAAGGGTAGAATGCAAAAATAATTCAAATAACTGCAGTAATAATCCCTGTACAAGTAGAGAAGGTAACGCAGCAGACACTGGACTTTCAGCCTTTGAGCAGTGCCATCGTGTGGAGGATTAGGTTGTTTATTCATCAGCCCTTGAACAAAGGTTGCCGCAGAAAACATGATTTGCTGGGGCAGGGGGCCCAATAGATTATGCACAAAAGGGTGAGTTGAACAAAATTCTAATGTACAAAGGCTATAACCACTTATTGAATTTTTACTGATGCCTTTTACCATTAACATGTCTTCTTTAGGTGTGTCAAAAGCAATTTTAGAAGGTGCTGGACCAGCTGTGGAAAATGAATTGACTGCACTAGGTATGGTCACATGTGACTCTTGGCTACAGACTATTGAAAATCAGAGGGCTGAGAATTCTATGAGAGGACCCACAGGAGGACTGGGGTTAGAGTAGGGCTGGTTCACTGGGAGAACAGGCATAGGTGGTGGGACTTGGTGGCTGCTGGGGAGAAGTCTTTTATCTCACCATCCCATCTGTCCCTTCCTTGGTGAGTATTAAAAAGACACCAGGCCTGGGTCCTAAAAATCCGGGCTCCAGCATTACTGAGCGACCTAGGCATGCCATCCAACCTCTAAGAGCTTTGCCTCTCTCATCTATAAGCAGGTCCTACTATTATAATAAGGAGTGTGGTAATGGCTGTCCCATGGGTGGTTGTGAGGAAGAGAAGGAACAATGATAACAATTTTGTAAACTGTAAAGTGCTGTTCAAATATCTTCACTTTCCCCAACCTTGTCCTACTTCTTATAGCACATCTCCACATGGCTGACTTCCAGTCTTTTTTTCAATGAATGTGGAGCCTGAGTGGGGAACCTAAAGGACTATTTGTCCTTCAAAACTTCCCTTGCAGAATTGGGTAGACAGTCAGCTACGAGCGCTTTGAAGAAGCACCATGTTTGACAATATAGTCCCACAGCTGACCTGCTATGGTGCCTGAAACACCAATCTTAATAGCTCTCTTCTGATTAAGACATTTTCTCTGGAGTGAATACATTTCTGGAGGGAGAACAGAGGAAAATAATGCTTGATCACCAGCACGAGGACGTTAGCAGGGATTTGAGCACTGGAAGAGCTAGCTGCGCCTTGGAAGGCAGAAGCCAAGGATGAAGCTTGGGTTGGATGAGCTGGGAAAGCCTAAGGATGCTGGGAGCGGGGAGCAGGTGGGCACCTGAGGGGCGAGTGCCCGGGCGTGGGTGCTCCCAGGGAGGGCAGTGGGATGGGCAGGGATCCTTTCTCCTCCTCCTCCGTTTTGCCAAACCCAGCCTTACTCAGAGCAGTCTGAACCAAAAGGGCAGTGTCGTAAAACAGCCCTGGTAGTTTCCATGTGCTCAAGAGCTCTCAGGGTTCTGACGGAGGGAGAAGTTTTCATCCTTTCACACCTCCATCCATACCACAGAGCACTTTGCTTTTACCTCCTTGAAAAATTAATCTTATCTGGCTGAATGAGCAGATTATAATTATTAATTATTTTATTAGTATTATAAAATTGGTCTTCTTGGACAGTAGGGTGGGGGTTAAGAGCTCTGGAGACTGACTACCTGGGTTCAAATATCTTTCACTGTGAATTCTTGGTTTCGATTCTAATGTAATGTCAAATGTAAGGTTCAAGTCCTGGGCAGTCTTGGGCTACTGCCCTTACCTTTGTGTAGCTCTGTTTTATCTGTGTAATGGGAAAAACAGTGCCTACCTCCTTTGCTTGTTTTGGGGATTGAGTGGATTAATGCAGATAGAGCACTTTGGAACAGCACCCAAAATATTCAGCGATGTATGTGTTGAGTTCAAGAATTCTGATTATGAAGGAAACGAGGTTGTCACAGTCCCAGTGAATGAAGCCGGCAGGCCTGAGAGAGGCTGGGCTTCATGGCTTTCTCTGGTGTCAGCTAGTTTCATTTCTCAGTGGTGCCAGTGTTGCTTCCAGTAACTGATGGGCTGTGTGTTTGTTTTTCTTCCCCTTTTTCAGCTGCACGGCCTCACAGAGGTTTTATAATTACACAAGGTGGAGACTTAAGGTGTGACATAATAATTCATGTTCATGGGGCAGACAATGTCAGGAAAACGGTCTCCAGTGTTCTAGAAGAGTGTGAACAGAGGAGTTACACATCAGTTTCCCTTCCAGCCATCGGAACAGGTTTGCAGCCTCTCCTCCCTCTAAAGTTCTGAGTGATCCAGCTTCCTTTGGACTTGTCTCACTCACAAGGAAATCGAAGCTGAGTCCGTCTGAGGGCAGCAATAATGGTGTAAATCAGAGGGGGGCAATCTTTAGGTCCTGAGGGTACAACCAGCTATGGTACCCAAGCCTCTTTCCTCCATCTTTCTTCTTTATGTTCTGTAGGTATCTTTTCAGGTTTGGTCCTGAACTTCATGGTTTTCTCACTGATTTTTTTTCCTCCTTTGGGGATTTTTTTGCTCTTATTATATCTGTTCCCATTTCTGCAGTGACTCCCAACTCAGCAATTCTCACTCTTTCCAGGATCTCCCTGGGAGCGTTCTCTGTTACCAGAAGCTTCATTACATCAGAATCAAAAATCATCCTCCCTCGCAGACAGATGCTCCTTTTGGGCTGTCTGGTTTTCTAGTGTCCTCCTGCAGTAGTGCCAAGATGTGCCCAGCTGCCCTGGTCTGCCACCCTTTCTTTCTTGTGTCCCCAGACCCCTCCAGCCAGTAAGTCCTGCTAAATCTTTTTCCAGAGGTTGTTGAGTTTCAGTCTTCCTTTTAGTTTCAAACCCTTCATCCCTCCTCCATCTGGTTTTCTGCCATGTTTCCTAGCTGGTTTCTCATTCATGCATTTATTAAATTGAAATGCTGTAGCCGGACATGGTGGCTTGCACTTATAACCCGGCACTTTGGGAGACCGAGGCAGGATTATTGCTTGAGGCCAGGAGCATGAGAGCAGCTTGGGCAAGATAGCGAGACCCAGTTTCTACAAAAACTAAAAAAAATTAGCTGGGCATGGCTGTGCATGCCTGTAGTCCCAGCTACTGGGGAGAGTGAAGCAGGAAGATCACTTGAGTCCAAGAGTTCAAGGCTGCAGTGAGCTATGATGGCGCCACTGCACTCCAGCCTGGATGACAGAGAAAGACTCTGTCTCAAAACAAAAAAAAAGCTATTACTTAGGCCCTGTGTAGCACAAAGTACTCATGAATAAGATGCAGTCGCTACAGTTCAGCAACAAGCTCCGGTTTATCCTGCTCTCAGTTGCTAGGAATGCTTTCCTCATCTCTATCATATCACACAATAATTTGCTCTTCTTAGCTGAAGACACTGCTGCTGACCTATGTCCTGATTCACTCCACTCATGTGACCTGTCACTCTCATGGAGGTGAGGGCTTCTCATTTGGGAAGTCAAGGGCTGGCTAGAAGTCTGTAGCCACAGGTTACCATTAATGTAAGAGGCTCTTGTAGCAATTAAATTCCTAGCCTTAGAGTCACCATCATCATCTTCACTTAACTCTGTAGGCTTCCTTCTGCTTCCCAGATTAAAACTGAAGACCCCTGCCAGGTATCCCAGGCCCTTGTTGCAAGAGCTCCAGGGCACCATCCGATGCTTGCTGCACATTCTTCTGGCTTCCCTACTGCCCTCATTACCACCTAGAACCTTTTTTCCCACACTTTTTTCTCCTTTTGGTCATGTTATTCTTCGCATGTGGACCCTCTTCCACCGCCTTCTGCCAAATTACAGCCCTCACAAACCCTGCTTGTTTTGCTCTCATCACCCAGTGCAAGCACTCTGCTACCTGGCAATGGGGAAACAGAGTGGAGTAAGCCCTGGCCCCTCAAGGAGTTCATGATTTAGGGACAGCCACAAGATATGGTAACCAAGAATGACAGACAACACAGAGGCCACAGGCGTAGGTGGGAAAACCAGCCACATAGTGGGAAGAGTTGTAGCTGGGTAGGTGGAATGAGCTTGTCAAGGGACTGCACAGAGAAAGAGAGAGAGGAGGGCTGAGACCAGAACAGGGCAAAGTGCCCACAGGTAGATTGTGGGGAGGGGAAATGGTGGAAAATTCAGCAAAAGATCTAACAACTAATCATAGGCATTGGAAGAGAGTAAGTGCAAAGTCCCAGCAAAGGAAGTAGAATGCTTGTGTCTTGCCTCCTCAATTTTTAAAAATTTTTTCTTAATTTTTATTTATTTATTTATTTTTATAGAAACAGGGTCTCACTCTGTCCCCCAGGCTGGAATGCCGTGGTGAGATCATAACTGTAACCCTGAACTCCTAGGCTCAGGCACTCCTCCTGCTTCATCCTTCCAAGTAGCTGGACTACAGGTGTGCACCACCAAGCTAGGCTACTATTTTTTGTTTTTTTTTTTTTTTTTTTTTTTTTAGAGACAGGGTCTCACTATGTTGTCCAGGCTGGTCTCAAACTCCTGGCCTCAAACCTCCCACCTCAGCCTCCCAAAGTGCTGGGATTACAGGTGTGAGCCACCACACCTGGCCTTGCCTCCTCAATCATGAATACATTGTGAGATGCTCGAAAAAGACCAGATCTCCTTCATGTTTTCTCTGCCCCACATTGAGTGCAGAATCACTACCTGTTAAATTTTATTGAATGAATGAATGAATGAAGAATAACTGGTGATTTTGATGATGCCTCCTGAGTTACTCTTGTACTCACTTCCTCATTGATTTCAGTGGACAAAATTTGTGTGGTAATTTATATTTTTAAAATGTTTCTCAGACAGTATCTATTTTGAGCACAAAGAAACACCCATGAAGTAGCTTGGAACAATTATATTAGTTGCAGTAGTAATGCTAATAATTGCCAAGACTTATTGTGTGCTTACATGTTCCAAGTGATTCACATGTAAAAGCTCATTCATTCCTCACAATAACCTTATGTAGGATGATCAACTGACTCACCTTTGCCCAGAACTTTCCTGGTTTTAACACTGAAAGTGAAGACAATGAAGCTTAAGCGACTGGGCTTCACTTACACAGGCCTTTTTAAAGACCCTGAGAGGAGACCTAATCATGTCTTCACATGGTTATGTAATTTAGTAAACTTCAAAAGTCAGGTATTTCAGCCACCATGGGTTAAGACCATTGTTTCTTCCCACTTTGACTTCCTAGAATTTTCACACTGGCCCTTGCACTGGGTGATGTTGGAGTCGATGCAAACATTTGTGGGATACACCTAAGGAAAGTTGCCTTGGGAATACAATTTTCAGCATTTTAAAATACATATTTTGTTGTGATTTCTGATTCTCAAGATTCTTTCATACATAAATTTATATTTATTCTTTTTTTGAGATGTATAAATTTCACGCTCTACAAAATCTGGGCCCATCCCATCTTGCAGATGAGGAACATGAGGCATTAAAGCACAAAGTCAAACAGCTAGTAAGCAACAGAGCTGGGTTCAAACAAAGGCAGCCTGGTCCCAGAGCCTGCAGTTTTAACCATTACATTTTTTTTTTTACTGCTACATTATTTTCTACCATTATGCTCTTAATTACTGTATTCTTACGATCAATCATATTCTTATCTCTATTATCTATTATCCTCTGTTATTACCCCAATTTATAGCTGAGCAAACTGAAGTGTACAGGCATTATGGGCTAAGTTGTGCTCCCCTCAAAATTTGCATTTTGAAGTCCTAACCCCAGTACCTCAGAATGTGACTGTATTTGGAGACAGGGTCTTTACAGAGGCAATTAAGTTAAAATGAGGCCATTAGTGTGGGCCCTAATCCAATCTGACCGGTGTTCTTATAAGAAGAGCAGATTAGGACACCGACAGGTACAGAGGGAAGACCATGCGAAGACACAGGGAGAAGATGGCCATCTGCAAGCCAAAGGGAGAGGCCTCAGCAGAAACCACCTCTGCTGATGCCTTGACCTCAGGCTTCTAGCTTCCAGAATTGGGAGAAAATGAATTTCTGTTGCCTAAGCCACCAGTCCATGGCATTTTGTCTGGCAGCCCTGGCAAACTCATGCAAGAGCGATCAAATGGTTTACATAAGATCACACAGCTAATAAGTAGCAGAGCCAAGACATAGACCCACATCTTCTGCATCCAAATCACACGTTCTTTTCTCTGCACTGCCAATGCTCTTCAGCTGAAGACCACCAGGAACACACACTGTGGGGAGCTATGCAGCATCTCAGGAAGAGGATGTTAGAAAGGACTTATTTATGAATTAGGGCCTAGGTGATTTTGTGGCAGTCTTTTCTCTGAATTGGATACTTTCAGGAAGCAGACATAATCTATGACTGGGTATCTTATCTAGAAGGAGGGAAGAACGAAGTGTGGCTAAAACTGTGATTGGTAATCAAGCACCCCCGTCACTCATTATTAGTCAGGATAGAGGGATGTTTGGCCGTTTTTGTGGTTTGGACAGTTTTTGTCTGTAATCAGACATGATTATTCAGTGGTCTTGTTTTTGCCTTAATTCATCATGGTCACAGATCGGTTACATTGATGATGTTCTATAAAGTCATTTGTGTTCAGCCGAGAACACCAAGACCTAGCTGTGAATGTCAGGTCAGTTCCTGGCTGCCAGAGGCCTTCTTGCTTCTCAGCACCAAGAAATGCACTTGCCAAATCTCATCACATTACTAACACCAGCTAAAAGTTCTTTTTTTCACTTAAAAAAAAATTTTTTTTTTAGGAAATGCCGGACAAGACCCAGTCATAGTTGCGGATAACATAATCGATGCCATTGTAGACTTCACACGGAAATATTCCACCCCATCGTTAGAAACAGTTAAAGTTGTCGTCTTTGTATCTGAGCTGCTAACTGTATTCTATGACAGCATGAAAAAAAGAGACACCCCCGCATCACCTACCCTTCAGGCCACATTCTACAAGGCTGCCCGTAAGATGTTCATTTTTAAAAATCACAAAGCTATCTCTGATATTGCTTAGAAAATGCTTAGATGTGAATGCTCACTGGGTTTATAATTTTCTATCAGTTTTAGGACTTTACAAACAACTTCTTATGATACATGGGGGAAATATAAGGATTAAGAATTATTTTTCTGAGAGGGAAAATCATGCTTGGGAAACAGGAATAGCAAATGAACAGGAAGAGAATAGAAGTGAGAAAGCAGGAAGAGGGCAGCAGGCTTTGCAAATTCTAGCCTACAGTCTCATTATTTACTTATTGATTGGTATTGACCCTCAGGGCCCCTTGTAGCGAGCGATGAACTAGTTAATCAATGTTGTTTTATTAACACCCACCTCTAGATAGGTTAGCCTGGAAATAGAAGCAGAGGCAAGAAGGTAGTAGCCAGGGTCATCTGGTTGTACGACATCACAAGCAGCCAGACAGATGCCCAGTGGCTACTCTGCAAGGTGTGTTTATACTTTATGTGTGAGTATCTGTGTCGATTAGTTCCTCCGATCTAGCTTTCCCCACTTTGCGGCCTCCGTACTACGGTTAAAATGACTAGAGTTTCAGCTTCCTCTTGCAGGCACCGTTGGCGCTCGTTTGGGCCTCACCCATAAAGCACTGTGAGCTTCGCTAGTGACGAGGCGCACGTGCCATCAGGAGCTGCCCCGCACTGAGATTGTTGTCTGCTGATATCACTAGGAATTTCTGTTCTCTCCACATCTATTTCCTGACAACTGTTCTCCTCAATGTGTCACAGCACATGGGATATGTAAAATGTACATATACACCGAACATCTGGAACACCATGCCAGCGGACAGAGCTCTCTTTTAAGCCCTGAGATTCCTCCTGATTGGACCGGTTTAGGTCATCACTGCAGGCAGGGAGCTGGGACTGCGCGGACTGGCCAAGCCAGAGTCACACCCTCCGCACTCTCAAGCTAGAGGGGAATCCCTGAGGCAAAGCGGAACACTTGTTTCCCAAAGGAAATTCAGGCCGCTTTTATCAGAAGGAGGCGGAAAGGACGCCAGGCAGTTAAAAATAATATGTGCATATTGTAGTATCTAGGGCTAGATTCCTATTGGTCTTTTTAGAGGCAAATTTTTATTTAAATTTAAGAACAGTTCATAAGTCATGATCAGTAAAGTAAAAAATAAAGTTAAATGGTTTCATCTATTCCCTCCTTTCATCAAGATTTTAAATTGACTTATGAAATTTAAAAGAAGAACAGTAAAGCTAAAGAGAGAAGCAAACAAAAAAATGACTAAAATGAGCATACAATAGATCGTATCAGACACCTGGGTTGTCAACATAGCAAAAGAATGAGCCCAGTCTGATCCTCGGGCGCCTGAGACAAAACCAAACAACAGCGAAACCTCATTACATAATCTTTGTTGTTATACAGATAAAATATCAGATAAGGCTGGGCGCGGTGGCTCACGCCTGTAATCCTAGCACTCTGGGAGGCCAAAGCGGGCGGATTGTTTGAGCTCAGGAGTTCGAGACCAGCCTGGGCAAAGAGCAAGACCCCGTCTCTACCAAAAATAGAAAGAAATTAATTGGACAGCTAAAAATATATAGAAAAAATTAGCCAAGCATGGTGGCGCATGCCTGTAGTCCCAGCTACTTGGGAGGCTGAGGCAGTAGGATTGCTTGAGCCCAGGAGTGTGAGGTTGCTGTGAGCTAGGCTGACGCCACGGCACTCACTCTAGCCAGGGCAACAAAGTGAGACTCTGTCTCAAAAAAAAAAAAAAAAAAAAAAATCAGATAAAAGGAAGTTTGTTGGCCCAGATAAACTTGAATTTTTGTAAGATTTTATCAGATGGCCCTGTTTATAAGTGAGCTTAAAGTGGATGGCTTTGAGTTTCATTTGGGCAGATGATACACAATTACCTTTTAAATGTATGTTAAAGCTATTTATTGAGGCAGAGAGCATTTATTGAGCACCAGTTGTATATCAGACACTAGAGGTATAGATTTGGGAAGTCATGTGAGTAGGTGGGAGTTGAAGCCCTTAAGTGTGAATTGGCTTATCCATGGAGAGTATCAGGAGGGCTAGCAGAGGCAAAGTCAGGATCCTTGGTTTTTTTGTTTTTTGGAGACAGAGTCCTGCTCTGTCGCTCAGGCTGGAGTGCAGTGGTATCATCATAACTCACCAGAGCCTCAAAGTCCTGGGCTCAAGCAGTCCTCCTGCCTCAGCCTCCCAAGTAGCTGGGACTGCAGGTGCACCCACCACACCCAGCTAATTTTTTAAGTTTTTGTAGAGACGGGGTCTCGCTATGTCATTCAGGCTGGTCTCGAACTCCTGGCCTCGAGTGATCCTCCCACCTTGGCCTCCCAAAGTGCTGAGATTACAGACATGAGCCACCACACATGGCAAGATTCTTGGTTTTTAATCCCATCTCCACAGGTGGGGAAGAGACAGGCAGTGTGCACAAGGAGAGGTGAGGGAGGGCATTTATCCTGAACACAAGGAATGCAAAAGTAGAACTTACCTTTGAAAGGATATCTATGGAAAAAGGGCTTAGGAAAGTGCCTGACACATGGCAAACACTTAAGGAAAGGTAGCTACCATGTTATTTTCCATGAAGCACTGGGCTGCAAATCAACAGAACAAAATTCTCTTCCTTACTTTGATGATGACCTTCCATATAATGTTGGAGTCTTCAACTTTCCTGGGACTTCATTTTCTCTTCTCTAAATTGTCTAGCCAGGGTCACCTTTTGTACACAGGCAGATAAGGGTGGGGTTTAAGTGTCTTTCCTCTCAAGAAAATACCTTTGGCTTTACACTTTACTCCCTTTTAAAATACAAATGCTTCTGGAATGTAAAAAATATCAAGCTTAATCAGTTTGGTTTTTTTTTTTTTTTGGAGGCAGAGTCTCATTCTATTGCCCGGGCTAGAGTGCCATGG